CACTCCAAAAATATGTAAAATTTTCTCAAATATGAGGACCACCTCTATTTTATATATTCCATTTAGTACATCTCAAAAGATAAGTTAAATTCTGCTGAATTCAAAAAAACATAGTATGTGTTATATGTTATCCCTCTCTTGTCGACTCTATTATAATATTTTGATGTCGTAGTTTTACATTATCGAGAATACATGACTCTAGATAAGAAGGAGTGAAGGTCGAGGATTATGGTATATAGAAAGTCAGTAGGGGTAGAGTGTTTTTTTTTGCATTGCTTTTGTTATCTATAGCATATCTTATGTATTATGTTTTGATTATTACGCTATTTTGAGGGTATTTATTGTTTTTGTTCTATAAGCTCTATACTGCTTTTTGTTATAACTATTATACTTTTTTTTTTACTTGAGTTTGATCCACTTATGAATCGAGGGAAACAATCTATGTACCTTCACGAGATAGTGTTAAGACCTGCATACATTTAGTAAAATTTCACTAAATATGTTGTTGTTGTTTCAATTCCGCGATAAATAAGAAAGTAGGCAGGTTGGACCATTAAGTTCAAAATAATTTCACTTCAACAAAGATCCCTTTAGTTTATATCTAAAACATTAGAGCACTAAAAAACATAACGATATATTAAAATGCAGCATAGTCTTACATTACACATTTCTTCCCTTTTAAATTTATATCGTTTATCAAATGCAGTATAAATTATATTTTCAATTAACCTCAAGAGATAAATCAATCTTAGCCCCGCATCCAAATAAAACAAATTAATACAATCAAATCTCTTTATAAACAGTAATTTCGTAGAACCTTAATTTACGATCTCATAGTTTTTTATATTATTGATGACTCATTACTTTAATGAACAAAAGAAGATTATTATATAAATTCAAATTTTATTTTATCAGATTCTGTTGTGAAAGACACAATCTTTTGTGAAGAAATCACCAAACACAACCCTAAAATTGTTGGTCCTCCATTAACCATAAAGCACCTACTTTCTCTATCATTTCATTTGTTTTTCGGAAATGGGCCTAAAATATCTTTGAATTGGCTTTAAAATATCCTTGTCATCCACCTTTGGATTCAAATTGACCTCTTATTTAACGGTTTTAAATTTAAACTATTTTTATATATATATTTTTAAATATGTGACACTCTACTATTGTTTATAACTTATTGTTTATATAGGAGTAAATTATCATACATTCAAGTGTCTAAATAAAAATTACCGATAAACATAAAAATCTAACTATGTTCATCTACTTATTCTTTCATCTCAATTATGTGATGTTACTTCATAAATAACTTTTTAAAAAATAATATATTAAAGGTTTTAAAACAAATCATAAATATTCATAAAATTATATTGAAAAAAGTGCATGAATTAATTCGGGATGTACTACTTCAGGGAATCATATTGAAAGTGTCCTCCTAATTAAGCGACTTAACTTAAATTTTACTGGGGGCTTTGATTCGGACTCGAATAATTTTGGATGTCATTTTCAGAAATCTATAATCTCGTTGTGTTTTAGTAGTGTTTATGGTGATTATGATATTATAATTTGTTTATTAATTGGGTGGGGTTTAGTTAGTAATGAGTGGGTAGTGGGTTGATTTAAAAATTATTTAATAAATTAAATTATAACCAATAGTTGAGCGTCAAGTATATTAAAAAATATTTAAACAATTTAATTTTTAAATCATTAAATAAGTGGTCAATTTTGAACCCAAAGGTGGATGACGGGGGTATTTTGGAGCCAATAGATGGATGGGAAGGGCATTTTGGAACCAATACGTGGATGAAAGGTAATTCTATACCATTTCCAATACTTCGAGAATATTTTAGGCCCTTTTCCATTTGTTTTTTAATTTCAAAATTTTATTATATAAAATGAGTTTAATTTATGTTAGAACTTTTAAAGGTTTATGTAAAAGAGTAATAGATATTTCAAAGTTTCATAAACTCTAGAAATATTTATAAAGATTAAGATATGATCAAACTATTCTTGACGATTTGAAGATTCTCAAAATTCTTTGATGGAGATAAAATAAAAGCTTACAGAGGTCCACGTCATCATAGTTTGAAAATTACGTCACTAGCGACCAAAAACAGTTTTTGGAGAACAAATAAAGTTATACCAAAATTATTTTATTTATAAAATTATATTTTATTTATTATTAAAATTTATAATTTATAACAAAAAAACATTCCATATTATTAAGTACAACAATAAACTAAACCACAATCATACCAATGAATTATGGAGAAATAATTGTCATGTAATTAGGAAGATCCATAATATATATTAATAATTTATTAGTGTATAATTTTCATCAAGTGGCCTCCACTATCACGTAAATAATTGAGAAAGCAACATTATATTATTTTATCACAGATATTGCGGCCATTCCATATCATCTTAATATTATAACTGAATATTTTGGGTTCGTTGCTCGGGTACACTACAAAAAAATTATAAATTATATGGAGATTTTTAAAATTAGTGTGAATATTTGATGAAAAATCAGTCTTCTGTAAATTTTCATATTAATTTTCAAAAAAATCTTTATGTAATTCACACTTATTTTTTGTAGCACGATGCATATTAAAAATATTTTATACCAGAAAAGGAGTATCATTTAATGCATAAAAAAAAATTGTATATCTTAAAATTTGTTACATTATTTATGATAGAGTATATGTAAATACTATACTTATGAGTTAATCATTACAGATGTGTTATATTTTGAAATAATATGTACTAATACTAATTATTTATATAAAATGTAAAAGAAAAATACGATAAATAATTTAAAATAAATAAAATAGTAATTATCCGTCCGAATGGTCATTGATATAGATGTATTTCAGAGTTTTTAATGTATCATTATAGAGTCGATACATAAGACTAGTTTAAATATTGAAAATGACTTTTCAACAAATAAATACTGTATATCTTTTTATTAATTATTTATTTGATTAAGTATCCTATATTAATGAACATATGTTAAGTAAATGGTGTTATAATATAAGGACGGCAATGAAACCATAAATTCCAAATGCAACATATTATTTTTTAATCAAATAATCAAACCCTCTTTTCAATTAAAACAAATTGCATTGTGTTCTTAATATTATTTTTATTTTAGCATTTAGCATGATAAATTATAATAATATACCTAATGTATTTTCATTAATTATTAGAAACATAGACTTTTTTCTAATAGAGAATTAGTGAAAAAATTATATTATAAATATGATTTTTTTTCTGTTCGTTTTTAATTCAATCAGATCACTCGAAAAATATGTAATAAGAAATAAATTTTTAAAATATTGAAAAGCTTCTTAATTTTTTGATATAAAAATATAGAATACTATATTTTTTCTTTTCTACTAATTCAATCTAAAAAATATATATATATATATTCGAAACTATCGAACATTTTTCGAAAAATTCAATAGAAAAAAATGATTTTTAAGTAGCCACGAGTGGAATCTTAGAGTGGAAAAACTATATATTTCTTTCTTTTTTGAATTATTAATTATTGGTTGAGAATTTTATTTGATTATAATTTGGCAGTATCTCTTTAATACAACAATGATATTTGGGTATACTCGTAAACTTCTTTGTCATGTATTATAAAATATAAGCAAATTTTATTTTTACCATATTAAAAAAATAAATTATTATAATGGCTTATAACTTGTTAACTTTTTGGGTTTTATTCAGTGCACACAAAGTGCTCATTCAAAAAACAGAGAGGCTATGATAGAAATTATAACAACTGCGAGTTATTTTAGGATTCTAAAAAAAATATATGTAATCTAAATTGACGACTTAAATTAATCATTTAATACCTCTTGCTTAGTCGATCAATAAAATCAATTGTTACAAATTACAATTTTTTATCATTTCATCAAGAATATAAATATATCTTATTGATTAATCTAAGATAATATTGAACTTGACAAAATGAAATAATTAAAAAATATTATTCAAAAAATACATGATATGTCTCGTTCACACTCATAGTTATTATTTTGATTATAATTATTTGTTTTTTTTTTAAATGCTTCTCTTCATCACAAGGGACAATTTTTTTATTATTGTGATTTGACCCTCTTCCTCGTCAAAATAATTAATATTGTTAATTATGTATATATAAAAGGGAAAAAGAATAAATATATCTTAGAACTATTTTAAATGGTTTGCAGATACCAATTCGTTATATTTTAGGGATATTTGTGTCTCTGCTTTTTAAAAATTAGAGCATATATGTCATTCACTCTAACGGAATATTAAATAGAGACACATGACACAATCTTATCCACCGATCCGATGACACGTGTATGTCCGTTAGTATAAAGAATATATATACTCTTGTTTTTTGACGATAGAAACAACAATATCCCTAAAATATAACGAAGTATATCTGCGTATCATTTACGATAGTTCAAAGATATCTTTTGTCCTTTTCCCTATATAAAAAAATCCTCCAAAAAAGGGGAAAAAACAGCACTATAGTATAGTACTATTTCTCTATAAATACTCTCATTGGTTAAACACAAAATTTGTACATTCACTCAGGTTGATTCCTTCAATCTTTTTCCTCAGATTTATTTTTCATGATCTCTAAATTCTTTTTAATTTCTTCACAATTACTCTTCTTTATTTTTTACTATCAGAAATATTTTTTTCTTCAAAAAAATGAAAATATTATTTGTTGATAAAGTATGCCATCCTCGATATTTTTGCTGTCATTTTTTCTTGTAAATTTGTTTCAAAAAATATTCTGAGCCGAAAATTTATCAGAAATAACTTTTTTACCTCACAAAAGATAAATATCAAGTAATAAATATTATGCATGTGCAAATACGACTTCAAGCTTGAAAAACTCCTTTCTTTCTTTTAAATTTCAACTAAATTTATGGTCAAACGCTAGCTTAAGTTGCTAATTACTTTGTTATTTCTTTTGATATATGCAGATTATAAATCAAATATAAAAAAAAAGGTAAAAATGGAATATGAGATTTTAGGTTTGCTCCTACTTTTACTTGCATGGGCTGCATGGGCTATATTGACGGAGCGACGACAACGACGACTCGAGGAGTATGGGCGGTTGCCACCAGGACCACGGTGGTGGCAACTATTAGCCAACATTTTTCAATCAGGTTTTGCACCACATGTATCATTTGCAAAATTGGCTAACAAACATGGTCCTATGATGACCCTATGGCTAGGTTCAATGACCACAATAGTTATTTCATCTAATGAAGTGGCTCGTGAAATGTTCAAGAATCATGATATCGTCCTCGCAGGTACATCTTTCACGTACCTCGATTATATAAAATATTTTATATATATATATATATATATATATATATATAGTA